TGGGAACTTTTGTAATGAGAATAGCCTGGAAAGAACCCACATGTCTTGCTGGAGGGACAGGAAAACAGTGGAGTAGTGTCCAGCTATGTAGAAGCATGAGGACTATCCCTCCAGACTCCCAGGGAGAGGCCTGTAGGAATCACTGCAGGAGTGAAGCCGGGTGGAGGAAAGCAGGCGTGCTGTGCTGCCCACTGCTTAATGAAAGGGGACATGAATATGCGTGCCTGTGGATCCGCTCACCCTAAATAAAACAAGGGAAAGGCAATCCAGGCACCTTTAGGAAATATTAGTAGTTACTTATGGGGAGAGAAAGAATACGATTTTTTTAAATCTGTGTTAAGGTTAAAAATTCGAACTTATAAGCCTAGTCTCTAAGCACAGAAAAGAACGAAGGGAAAACACCCTAAAGCTGTTTTCACCAATCGTATTGTTAGTGGAGCGTTAGTATCTTTATTCTCATTGTTGATTTATTGTGGGGTAAAGGAAATGAATTCTGTTATTTTCTAATTCTGTCATTCCTGGTGTCCTTTAAAAGTGGAATTCTTGATGTGAGAGAAAGAAGGTACGGATCTGAGTTCAAGGAAGTCAAAACTCTGTAGTCCTGAATTTGAATTGCAAGTATAGGTATGGAATCATGTGGTTTTTTTTTTTAAGGAAAAAATATATATATTTTTCTAGATCTTTCCAGCAAGAAAAGACCTAGAAACAGCCCAGAAGCAACACACACTTTTAACACCTAGATTTGGTCTGCCAAAAAGAAATAGGAGTCACTGGGATTCCTGATTTGAAGACGGTGATGGAAAATGTTTAAGATGACCCTGAAATCTTTCTTAGGCAAGGGAGCAATTAATAACTGCTGGAGTCATTGTCAAAGGACCAAGAAGCCAGTTTGAAGAGGCTCAGATTGGTCAAACATGGGGTAATTTGACATCAAGATTAGAAACTACTGAATTGAAGTTCATGAAATCTATCTAAAGCCATGAGCTGGTAACAACACCCGCAATGTAATTGATCAGTGTTGGTGGACACCCAGAAACCAACTTGATAAAAACCAGTGAAAGTCTGCCTTTCCTATACAAACTGTACCCCTGGGAAACCACATCACAGGACGGGGGATATTTCTCTTTAGAGAGGAATTCTAGCTAATGAATGAGGACCAGGCAATAGAATTAGAGCCTGACCATTTTTGCAGTTTTAATGAAGTAATGAATCTAGGCATTGCTCATTAACAGTGGCCAACATAAAAGAGAGAAGGAGAGAGAGAGAAACATCAGACATTCTGTGTCCGCTGGTGGGAAAACACCATCATCTATGAGGCAACCTACACATAACAGTCCAATCTTAATCTGATGAAGTGATTTCGCCAACTTGTAGTTTACAGTAAGAGTATGTTGACACCTCCATCGAAAAGCAGGACTCGGAGAACATGCTCAACAAATGGATTGCAAAGAAGCAAAAATAAATAGAGATGATACCCACACACTGGAAGAGACATGAGGAGAAAAGCAATTAATGCAATTCGTCATAGTAACAGACTAAGAAAAGCCATATGATGATCTCAACAGAGGCAGAAAAAGCATTTGATAAAATTCAACATTAATTCATCCAAAAAAAAAAAAAAGAACCTCTCAGCAAACTAGGAGTAGACGTAGGAATAGAAAAGAGTTTCCCTGAACTAATAAAGGGTATTTATGAAAACTCGACACCTAACATCATACTTAATAGAGAGACATTGAATGTTTTTTAAGATAACGAACAAGGGAAAAATGTGCTCTCTGATCACACGTATTGAACATCATTGGAAGTCCTAACCAATGTAATAGGCAAGAGAAAGAAATTAAAAACGTATCGATTTGAAAGGAAGAAATAAAACCATCTATTGGCAAATGACATAAATCATCTATGCAGAAAATCCCAAATAACTTACAAAAACAAGGGTTCTGGAACTAATGAGTGAATTTAGCAAGTTTGCAAGACAAGTCAGTATACAAAAGTAAATTATATTCCTATGTACCAGCAATGAACAATTGAAATTTAAAAAGGAATACCATTTACAACAGCACCAAATAAATTAAGTACATGGACGTAAGTCTAAGAAAACGTGTGCAGGATCTGTATGTTGAAAATCACAAAACTCTGATGAAGGAAGTCAAGAAGATCTGAATAAATGAAGAGAGAGACTGTGTGCGTTGATTGGAGGACTCAGTAATGTTCAGGTGTCTACTCTTTCTGCAGTTTCAATGCAATACCACAAGTTTTTTGTTTGTTTGTTTTTTGTTTTTTTAATACAGAGTCTCACTCTGTCGCCCAGGCTGGAGTGCAGTGGAGGGATCTCAGCTCACTGCAACCTCCATCTCCTAGGTTCACGCCATTCTCCTGCCTCAGTCTCCTGAGTAGCTGGGACTACAGGTACCCGCCACCATGCCCGGCTCTTTATATATATATACACACACACACTTTTAGTAGAGATGGGGTTTCACTGTGTTAGCCGGGATGGTCTCGATCTCCTGACCTCGTGATCTGCCTGCCTTGGCCTCCCAAAGTTTGAGCCACTATGCCCAGAAAAATACCACAAGCTTTTTTTAACAGATATTGACAAACTGATTCTAAAATTTATATGGAAAGCAAAGGAACTAAAATAGCCTAAACAATTCTGAAAACGGAGCGAAGTCAGAGGACGGACACTATCTGGCTTTAAAACATACTATACAGCTGCAGAAACCAAGGCAGCATGATGTTTGGGGACAGATAGACATGCAAATCAATGGAACAGAATAGAGAACTCAGGAATAGACTTACCCAAATATGCTCAACTGATTTTTTGGCAGAGGTGCAAAGATGATCCAATGGAAAAAGAATAGTCTTTTAAAAATGGTGCTGGAGTCAGGGCATGGTGGCTCATGCCTGTGATCCCAGCACTTTGGGAGGCCAAGGCAGGTGGATCACCTGATGTCAGGAGTTCAAGACCAGCCTGGTCAACATGGTCAAACCCCATCTCTATGAAAAATACAAAAAATTAGCTGGACGTGGTGGTGGGTGCCTGTAATCCCAGCTACTCAGGAGGCTGAGGCAGGAGAATCACTTGAACCAGGGAAGGGTAGGTTGCAATGAGTCGAGATTGTGCCACTGCACTCCAGTCTAGGCAACAGAGCTAGACTCTGTCTCGGGAAAAAAAAAAAAAAAAAAAATGGTGCTGGAAAAACTGGATATTGATATGCAAAATAAATAAACAAACCCCAACACACACCTCACACTTTATACAAAAATTTCCTCCCAGGGATTTAAAAGCCGAACTTCATTTAAAATCTTTTGGCCCGGCATAGTGGCTCACGCCTGTAATCCCAGCACTTTGGGAGACCGAGGCGGGCAGATCACTTGAGGTCGGGAGTTCGAGACCAGTCTGACCAATATGGAGAAACCCTGTCTCTACTAAAAATAACAAAAGTGAGCCAGGCGTGGTGGCACACACCTGTAGTTCCAACTACTCGGGAGACTGAGGCAGAGGAATCGCTTGAACCCAGGAGGCGGAGGTTGCAGTGAGCCGAGATTGCGCCACTGCGCACCCGCCTGGTGACAGAGTGAGACTCCATCTCAAAAGAAAAATTGCAGATTGAAACATTCAGATACTTACATACAGGGTCTGTATGGATGCTTACTTAAAAACTCTTCTTACAGAGACATTTCCATGGACATCCTCATGCTGCTTCTGCTTTTGGGTATAATGTATGGGAGGTTTTCTCAAGATGAATACTCCCTCAATCAAGCTATCCGGAAAGAATTTACAAGGTAGGAGGTTTGGGTAACTCCTCTAGATCTGGGGCCATTGCACTAGTCCATAGCCCGTGTGCACCTTCCCCATATTTCACAACCCACATATGAAATATAAGGAAGGTTGTCACGATTTCCCTGGTATTAGTAAAACCCCCTCCATTCGCAGACTTTGGATACATTCTTAGCATTTTCTTTGGGGGTAAATAGTGAAACGAGGATATTTCAAGGAATTTTAAGTTCTGCACCAAAACAGGGTCTTGCAGTTTCTTTTTTGCTGGAGACATCAGTTTTCTGCCAAAGCCTATGGTTGCAGTTCATAATAACCGACACTCAAGTTCAAACAGTTTCTTTTTTTTTTCTTGTTTTTGTTTGTTTGTTTGTTTGTTTGTTTGTTTTTGAGACAGAGTTTTGCTCTTGTCACCCAGGCTGGAGTGTAATGGCGCGCTCTCAGCTCACTGCAATCTCCCAGGTTCAAGCAATTCTCCTGCCTCAGCCTCCCAAATAACTGGGATTACAGGCATGTGCCACCACGCTCGCCTAATTTTTTTGTATTTTTAGTAGAGATGGGGTTCGCCATGTTGGTCAGGCTGATCTTGAACTCCTGACCTCAAGTGATCCACCCGATTTGGCTTCCCAAAGTGCTGGGATTACAGGTGTGTGCCACTGTGCCTGACCTTCAAACAATTTCTAACACCTCTCAAATTCTTGATCATTTCTCAAGTTACTCATTTGCTTCTTCCTCCTTCTTTCTATAAGTAGTAGATGTTGACCATAGGTAAATCTAGCAGAACTGAAAAGTGAAAAGCAGAAAAATTTCCATGATGCCACCAGGCAGAGGCAAGCATGATAGCATTTTGTTGTGTCCTATTTCTTTTCCATGTCTCAGTGCTTCTAAAATTGGGATGCATATTGTCACCAACAGGTGCATTTAATGTAGTATTCCTTTTTTGATGAGAGTTGTTCTTGAATCCATGGTTAGACTTTATTTTTACCTGCCACAAATAGTCAGTCTGATAGTCCTTTCAAGGCAGTGTGGCTTTGAATTCTAAAGTGCATGATATGAAATAATATTGGTTCTTCGCTATGATTGCAATGCCTGTAAATACAATAATTCAGTGTGTTCCAGGAGTTACCTTATTTTACTCTGGTGAATATTTAAAGACACATTTATGCAACAGCTCTATGAGTGTGTTGCCTTTGACTAAGTAATTCAATTTGATATAAATACTTTTTGGTGAGATTTTTTGGCAGAAGTGAGTGGCTGGAAAGTCCATTTAATTTTATCCATTATTTCAGAACACATCTATCTTTATTTTTTGTAAGAGAGAGGGTTATTCATACACAGCAAGATAATGGCTAATGGATACTGTCCCCTTTGTCAGTGTTGTGAACCACTCATAAGATCAGACCTGGAAGTCCCAGTGCTATGAGTCTGGGTGTTCTGTAGCTCAGTAATCCAAGTTTTTTTTTTTTTCTGCTGAGCATTCTAGTAGTGAAATTAAGTGGAATTTTCTGCCTCCTCATTTGTGAAACGAGCAGTTATTTCCATCCATGACCAACTTTTCAGTCCTCCTATCTGTGCAAGTGCAAGCCTGTGCCAGTAGGTGGCGCTGTGTGCAAAACAAAGTGATAATTTGGTCCTCTCTGAAAATGGAAATCTAAACATGAAAAACCTCTGACTTTTGCTAGTTTATTTTTTATCTCACATTTCACAAGTCAACATCATTTGGCATATTTCTCATATGAATTGTTGCTTCTTGATAGTCAAATCAGAAATATCGCAGCTGAGATAATATTTGTGAGATCTCAGGTGCAGATGAGATTGATGTGCCCACATTCACAACTCCTGCGGATTTGCACAGACCTTATGTTTCCCACAAGGATGCAAAACCCCACGGTGCTCTGGCCACCAGGCAGAGATATTTGTGTGTCCCAGTTGGTAATGGAATGTTTAAAGTGGACCCTCTCCATCTCACCGCCTAGCCCCCAATACCTAATCCTGAAATATCAACAACGGAGGGTTTGGCATTTACTAGCATTCCAGATAAGCCCAGGAGGGGAAATGGATGAAACAGAGTTCAGAGATCAGGGCCCCAACTCACGTTTGGTTGCTAGGTGACTCTGGCAAGTGCTTGGACTTAGCACCTTCATCTGTAAAGGGAGGGAACTGGACTACTGAGTACTTACGTCTTAAGAAGTCATTGCGTTCTTGGATTTCGCCATATTTATGTCATATTTGAAGTGTTTCTGAACTTATGAAATACTTCATGAAATTCAAAAAAAAAATACATAAAACAAAAAATAAACCAGCAAATAAAGCACCAATCAATGAAGCAAGCGTTCTATCCAAGTGCCATAAATGTAAGCAGCTGATTTTATCTTTTGCATTGTTTAACCAGCTTTGTGGGCTTATTTTATGTAATTGTGGTAATTAATACAGGCAGGGCCAGAATACTCCTGGCTCATTGGGTTCACTACCTGCACTTTGGATGTGCCAGGAATGAGGCGTGAGATGTCTACAGTCTCACCATTGGGTGCTTTGGGTTATTTTCAGGGCTTTTTTAGTTTCTTGATGTTATTCCAATAGGGAAGCAAGTGTCAAGAAGTGAGACCATTTCCCTGAAAGTGGTACAAACTCAACATGGCTGTAATGTCTATACTTTACTCTTTAAAAACACAGAATATGGAGCATTTTAGTTGCTATAAATGTACGATGTTTGTCTGTCAAACCATCTTGCTTCCCACAGCAGATGCTCAACACTTTCCTCTGTTGAAAATTCACCTCCAGCCATCCTTTGCCTCTTTCCTACCCTCCCGCCCTTTCACTGCATCTCTGTGCCCCCTGGTTCATTCATCCTTTCCTTTGGCATGAATATTTGCAGAGATGTATCTGCTCACCTTATGCCTCCCACCTCTGTCTCCATCTGTGTTCTCCTTTCCTGATGCCTCTCTGTTGCTTCATTCCATCCTCTGGGTGCTCTGGCAGGCCTCCAACTTGCTCTCCTTTTGATAGTTTGACAAAACTTGTAGAGAAGTCCAGAGTTAAGAACCAGTACCCAATAAAAGACCTGCAAAGATTAAGTTCTAAAGATGTACAAACCAATAAAGATCAAATACTTGAAAGAATAAGAGATCATTTCTTTGTAAGAAAAAGGAAATAAAACCAGTCAGATAAATTAATTCACTAGACTTTTCCTCATACATGCTATGGAAATTTTTTTTTTGAGACAGAGCCTCGCTGTTGCCCAGGCTGGAGTGCAGTGATGTGATCTCGGCTCACTGCAGCCTCTGCCTCCCGAGTTCAAGGAATTCTCCTGCCTCAGCCCCCCAAGTAGCTGAGACTACAGGCGCACATCACCATGCCTGGCTAATTTTAGTGTTTTTAGTAAAGACGGGGCGTTAGCCATATTGGCCAGGCTGGTCTCAAATTCCTGGCCTCAAGTGATCTTCTAACCTTGGCCTTCCAAAGTGCTAGGATTACAGGCCTGAGCCACCATGCCCAGCCATATGGAAATTTTCGAACACATTTATAGTATATATAGATTATTGGTTGAGGCTACTGCATCTCTTTATTACTCTATATACTGGTGACATTTATTTTTGTCTTTGATTTTTTTAATATTGTCCAATTATTGTCATGACTATCAGGTTTTTAAAAAAACTTTTTCTAAATTATCTGCAAAATTATAGCATTTGCCAGCCAATTTCCATGGTATAAATCTTCCCAGCATGATTTTTTTGTTTTGTTTCATTTCGTTTTGTTTGTTTGTTTGTTTGTTTGTTTTTTGATGAAGGCTCACTCTGTCCCTGAGGCTGGAGTGCAGTGGCATGATCTTGACTCACTGCAACCTGCGCCTCCTGAGTTCCAGCAATTCTCCTGCCTCAGCTTCCTGAGTAGCTGAGATTACAGGCATGCACCATCACGCCCGGCTAATTTTTTGTATTTTTAGTAGAGATGGAGTCTCATCATTTTGGCTAGGCTGGTCTCAAACTCCTGACTTCAGGTGGTCTGCCTGCCTCAGCCTCCCAAAGTTCTAGGATTACAGGCATGAGCCACTGTGCCCGGAACCACCATGGTCTTTTACACCACCAGTGTGACATCACTGAACATGGAGTTGGCAGGAGTTGTGCAAAACTGGCTCTCACAATGAGAGTCAGCTCCAGGCCTGCTGTCTACAGCCCAACTTTGCTCTCAAGCCTTGTTTACCAAAGCCATGGCCATCATCTGAATGACTCACAGTGTGTTCATTCTTTGTAGTAATCTGGATCTGGTGCTGGACCAGGCATTCAATTGTGTGTACTTCTTTCTAACTTCTTCTCACCTTAGGACAAAATTCCTCTTCCTGAGAACTATTTTGGTCTCCCCTTTTTGTGGAGAGAAACCGGGATGAAACAACCACATCAGAGCCATTTCTGTTTGCTCAGGGCATGTTGATGGGCACCCCATCCTTTCCATTCTTCAGTGACTCTTCATGGGAAGCCATGTACGAGAAAGTTTTTTAGAGTTAGGTGAGAGGTACTTTGCTTTCTCTTAGGAACACTTGATTTTATTCTTTTGCCTCTGGCCGTAGCTCAGAGCCAAATGTACACCCTGCCGCTGCCGTGTGCAGCCTTGGCCTATGCATGTGGCTTTATGGCAGTGTCTGAGCAAACTAAAAATGATAAATTTTGTTCATTTGACATTATTTCAATGCTCCTTTAAATCAGCTCCTTGGTGGAAAAAAATGAAGCATATTTGTAAGCATAATAAAGAAGTTAATTGGAAAGAAAACAGACTAGTGTTTGTGCGAACACTGCACTTTCGTCTATGCCTTCACATCTGCCACTCACAGTCACACGCTGCGCCCAGTCGGCAGTCAGTGCAGAGAGAGGACTGGGTCTTGGTCTGGGTGTCCCAGAGCCTCCCTTGTCTACCCTAGCCCCGGTGCTCCCTCTGCACTAGCTCTGTGGCCCCCACACCTTCCCACCCTTTAGGCTTGTGGAAGCCCTCGCTGTCCCCTCTGCCTGGAATACCCTCCCTCAGATGACCACGGGCTCCACCCTCACCTTCAGGTCTTTGCTGGACGTCACCACCTACTGAAACCTTCCATGGCTGCTTGAACACCTGCTCACCCCACCACTTGCCTGTCTTTCCTGCTTTTTTTTTTCCCTCCTCCACATTTGTCACAGCATAGTGTATGTTTGCTTATTTATCTTATTTGTTGCCTGTTTCCCCATAGGAGGGCAAATAATTGATTTTATGTTTCCCAGTGCCTAGAAGAGTGCCTGACACCTAGTAGTTGCATGGTAATGTTTGTTGAGTGACTGACTCAGTGAACAAATGAACAAGTGCTTCATCCACCATTCTCTCTTATCTCCTGCTACTAAGGAGCAAAGTGAGTTCCAGGGTTTCATGCTTCACGCTGCAGGCAGCTTTAGTTTAATTCCTGTGGAGTACCTGAAATCTGAATGAGAGAAAAATTGGCAAGGAAACATGCTTTTTTTCTCACGTTTAAATGTTCTTGTTGATGCAGAAGCAACTTTTAATTTTTGTTCTTGCATTAAGAAATGCCAGAAACTCCTTTGGTGGCCTGAGAAACATCACTGACTGGTGGGACTGGAGTCTGACCACACTTCTGGACAGCCTGTACCCGGGAGGCTCCCCAACAACCCGTGTGCCGGGGGCTCAGGTGAGCTTTCCATCTCCTCTTCATCTCAGAGATCATCTCAGAAAAGCCATCTTGCAGTGGGTGAAACAGTCACTAATACTGAACTGCAGCACTGCGTAGGTTCTTGAATGAGCATGCAGGTGTAAGGCCGGTGGCTCTCCAGCGGGTCCCAGCAGAGCATCCTGTTCCTTTCCTGCCGGAACCCGTTGGCCCCATCCCATTACACCCTGCTGAGCTGCACAGGGGTTCTCCAGATTCCTGTGCTTCCCAGGCCTGAGATAGACACAGGGGCTATGGCAGAGCCTCAGGAGCCCTCAGGCTGATGGGGTGCGAGGTCAGGAAATAGAAGATTCTAGTTCCGTGTGCTAACTACCCTGACAAGGAAACACAAGAACCACACCAAAACAGAGGAAGTGCAAGGAAGCTTCCAGAAAGAGGTGAGGCTGATCCCAAGTTCTGAAAAGTTAATATGCATTTTGCATAATCCCATTCCTTGCTCATCTTTTATTTTCAACCCCTTTCCCACGTTTAAAAATGAAATACACTGGGCACGGTGGCGCACACCTGTAATCCCAGCACTTTGGGAGGCCGAGGCAGATGGATCACGAGATCAAGAGTTCGAGACCAGCCTGGCCAACATGGTGAAACCCTGTCTCTACTAAAAATACAAAAGTTAGCTGTGTGTGGTGGTGCGTGACTATAATCCCAGCTTCTTGCAAGGCTGAGGCAAGAGAATTGCTTGAACCCGAGAGGTGGAGGTTGCAGTGAACCAAGATCATGCCACTGCACTCCAGCCTAAAAATACAAAAATTAGCCGGGCATGGTGGCACGTGCCTGTAATCCTAGCTACTTGGGAGGCTGAGGCAGGAGAATTGCTTGAACCCGGTGGGTGGAGGTTGCAGTGAGCTGAGGTCGCACCACTGCACTCCAGCCTGGGTGACAGAGCTTTTCTCTGTCTCTAAATTTTAAAAAGACAGAGAAATATATTTATATATTTGTCCATATTCCTTGAGCAGTTTATTTCTAATTTTATTTTGTTGTATTCTATATAGTCTCTTGGGTTGATGATGCTGGAGAAACTTTCAAAAAAGATAAAAGAGAGCATTCTCGTGTGACGCAAGTTACGGACATCATTTGAATGTTAACCCTTTTCCAGGACAAGCCTGGGGAGGTTGTTGCTGCCTTCTTGGAATGTTGGTTATATCCCTAAAATGGTGTTGGAAGGAAAGTAAAACTCTGACCTCTATGGTAGCAGGTGGAGTTACCCAGAGCATCCCCACACCTTTTGAGTGCTGCTTGATGAGGAGGTTTGAGTCCTCAGCACACCCAGTCCTCATGATCTTTTTTCTCCTTTCAGCCTGGAGCTCTTGGAGGAAAATGCTATCTAATAGGCAGTTCTGTAATTAAGCAACTAAAAGTTTTTCCTAGCCATTTATGCAAGGTAAGATGTTCCTTTTCCTTTTGCTTCCAAAAATAAATGGAATTAGAGAAGTCTAGGCAATATTGGGGCAGGACCCTGGCAGATCATTTGAACTTCTCGGAGAGTTCGGTGGTGATTGGAATTGTCAGTGCCAGGGCTGGGGAGAGGGCGAGCCTCGCCCTTCCTTCCTTACCCCTTATGAACCCTTTCCCAAAGCCTCTTCCTTCCTTGGCGTTCTACTGCAGATTTATTCAATTCACTCTTTGGCCTTAGAGACTGGCATTCCAGGCAAAACTAGGATTTTTAATCAAACAATCTAAAAATAGAATATTCACATATCCTTTTCTAATGGGAAGGGTGTGCCCTCCCCATTAGAGGGATGGGCATTTTACCTGGCATCTCATGATGGGGAAGTCTTCAAGTGCTCTAAGCCTTAGACCCATACACACCTCAGACGCCAACCTTCCATGGGTAGAACGTTGATCCTGTAGCTTGAGCTAGAGTCTGTAGACCACGAAACAAGCTTCAGAATGATCCTATGAGGAGAGAAGGGCGCCATGTTGCAGGACAGAGCAGGTGTTCACAGGCGGCCAGGCCTGGAGACCCCGGATTGCAGGTTGGCCTTGGGAATAGCATCTGTGTCTTCTTCTGACTGCTGGTTTGTTTTACAGCTTCCCAGGCCATTTTCAGCACCCACTGAAGACTCTATTCCTACATGTAGCCCCGAAGGTGGAGGCCCTGAGAACCCCTACCTGATAGACCCAGAGAACCAAAACATGACCCTGAATGGTCCCAGGGGCTATGGGGCAAGGAAGGACTGTGTGCTCAGCCTGGGCAGAACAAGGTCAGTGAGATTCAAAGGTCCGGTGCTCATCCTGCCTGCTGCCGCCTGCTCGGGTGCCTGCTGGACGCGGTGCATCTGCAGCAGGTGCAGCCTCCTGACAGGCCCGCGAGGTCAGCGCACCACTGCCAGGAGCTCCAGCAAGACTTGTCATTGTTG